GAAGCCTCAGTATACCCATCCTCAATGTCAGGAATTGAATTGAAACCCTGGGATTTCTTCAAGGCTTTCTCAAGCCTAGCAATTTTGATCATGGATGGATCAACTTCATTCATATCGAAGGGAATGGTTCCCATAGGAGGTTGTACCGGAGGTCTGTAAGCTGAAGCTGTTGGAAACATCTTCTGAGGATCTGAGACCTGAGGAGTTTCCAGTGGTGGAGGGAGATTAGGATTTAGCTGGGCAGCCGGGACCAGATGTATAGTAGATGCAGATGGCCCAAATGGGCGTCACAGATCAACGATGACTTCATCCTGTGCGGCCAACCTTTGATCCATGGTTCTCAAAGTTGCCATCATGACAGCAATTTTTTCTGTGTTCTGTGCCATTCTTATAGGTGGGTAAGGTATTGGTGAATTGCGAACACGAATAGGTGTTTGTGGAGTGCTTTATACTGGTGCTGATGTCTGTTTGTTCTTTCTTCGTCGAGTGACCGGCGGGAGAGAAACTAACACTGGCTGACCGTCAACAAGATCTTGCATTTTACAAAGCCTACGAGAACGAGTCCAAACAACTTGGGGGATATTGAGTCTTTTTGAAGCTATGATGAAAAACTACCTAGCAAAAAGAAAGAAAAAAAACATTTTTAAAAAATCGGACAGCACTTCGACCCCAATTCTCAATTAATCACAACACGCAGCTGAATTATGATCCCCACTAAACTTTGTTCTCAGACTGATTGCTCATTTGTACCACTGCTATGAACCACCCCGTATATTTCACTGTAAAAGCACATACCACATAAAAAGAACCAAAACACCCCTATGAGGAGGTAGGGTTACCCTGTCCTAGATTTTGACATGATCTAGGTTGCACTATTTCAAGCAAGTGGTTTCATAACATCCTGTACGAGTAGCATCCTGTCCTAATTTGAATAGTCACTAGAGCGTATTATATGCATTAGGTCAAATAGTCACAAAGGGTACCTCAACAAGACTACCTAATATACCTCTCACACCTAACACCGAAAAGTGAAAGGAGGATCAAGCGGTACAGTGGTAATCCAGATCCAAGGGTTGTGTTCCCAACTTGACAGAGCCCATGACCGATCTGCCTTTTGGCAAGCCTTGTAGGCAAGCCTCCGGTAAACCGTCCAGGAATAACAGATGGCAAACACAGGGACTTAGGCGCACCAATACAAATGCAATGTAAAGAACATATATATGTAGATAAAATTTCACATCATAAAATTTGAGTCAAGTTCTCTATAATCCCCAGCAGAGTCGCCATAAACTGTAGCTCGGCTTTTAGCGTTCCCTTTCGGAAGAATGAATAGCCCTTACAGTTCGGACTCCACTTATGTGTTGGTTCTGATTTTGATTTGACAAGTGCAATGTGAAATAGTGAAAACACAAAAAGAGTCCAAATCTGGCAATTTCTTTTGGAAAATCAATATTTGAATCAAATGCCAAAAAATAGACTGTTTTGCCAGATATCAGAGTCGCCATCTAAATATTCATTTTGGAAAATTTAGGAAACCCATGACTCGTGTTAAAAGCCATTAGTCCGTCGTTACCAAAATGTCTTGGTTTGGGAACTTAGGTATGAGAGGGGAAGGTCAATAATTGAACACCCCACTCACCCGATCAAAGATCGACCTCTACTAATCATGATGTGGTTGTTATGTACAGTATATGCTCTTGTTCTATATGTAATATACAAGTATAGACTAATTTCACGAAAAGTTGGAAAGTTTGATTCCATGTTTGTTTTGAAAAAAATATTTTGAATATGTGTCACTGAAAATGGTGATCTCATATATATGTGAATTAAAGTATCCCAATTCAAGTGATTAGCCTTCATCCACAGACATTCAAACAGGTACATCCAGTAAGCATTTAGCCTCATGGTAGTATGTTTGATATGGCAGCAATCACACTTATGCAATATGCTAAAGCATAAAAACTTACCTTATGTCCGAAGGCGAATCAAAAGAAAGTAAATAGTTAAAAAAAATGCATGATTCTAATTAATGCGATATGGCTAATGCAACACATACAACGTGCAAGTAATAAGCTCGGCTACTAGCATGACATGCGAGTCAATTCAAGGCATGTGATAGAGCATGTATTCAAGGAATGAGTTTGAATTTGACATTTGAATAATATGATGAGCCGAACTTTTATGCATGCAAAACGAATGGATGCAAGTCATGGAAATGCAAATTTGAAAATATGATGTCCCTAACCTAACCATCATAAGCAGTGAAATAAAAGGGAGAAAGAATGGGGGTTGGAAGACATACAACTTATTACATATTTGTCCTCGCGAAGGAGGGTCCGAATGTCCAAATGTCCGAATAAATAATTATTACAAAACCGAATGAATAATAAATGAAAGGGGCTGTCTAATTTATTATAATAATTGATGTAAGGCAAGCCTTGACACAATAAATTCGGTATAACATCCGACCGAATTCAATTAATCATATTGGTTCTTTATGTCGATTGTAACCCAATTTTAACCAATTTTATTAGCCTTTTTTATTACCTGTCCATTTCTTTATATTTTCTCCTGTTTGTGCAAAAGTGACATTTACGTCCACTAAGTCCAAAATGCAATAAAGAGAAACAAGCATCAACTTAACCCGAGAAAATTTTCTTCGGGGAAAATTACAAAGGAAGAGTCAAACTTATTTACAAGCGATAAGAGATTCCAAGTCAAACTCAAAATGTGCAACAAGGGCTAGTCAAACTCAAAAGAGTGATAATGACTTAGAAAAACTCAAACTTGAGTGATAATGACTTGAAATCCAAACTTGATAATAAGTGATAATGACACTTTCCTTGGTGATTTCCAAGGGTCAATTAGTCCCTTAAAAGTAAACACACTGATGAATAAAGAGAAATGAAAAATAAAAGATTGTGCTTTAGTATAAGAATATGTATACATTTGGGGTAGTGAACCTCCAAAGAATTTAAACCGTTAAGTATAGAATGTTTTATGTTTTTGGTAGTAAATCCCCTAAGAAATTAAATCAGTAAGCATAGAACGTTGTATACTTTTGGTAATAAACCTCTTAAGCATAAAACGTTTTAGGCCTTTGGTAGTGAATCTCCAAAGAGATTAAACCATTAAGCATAGAATGTTTTATACATTTGGTAATGAACCTCCTAAGCATAAAACATGTTATGCCTTTGGTAGTGAATCTCCAAAGAGATTAAACCATTAAGCATAGAACGTTTTATACCTTTGGTAATGAACCTCCTAAGCATAAAACGTTTTATACCTTTGGTAGTGAATCTCAAAAGAGATTAAACCATTAAGTATAGAGCGTTTTATACCTTTGGTAATGAACTTCCGAAGAGATTAAACCATTAAGTATGGAAGAGTTCATTTCTTATGCTTGAACCACAATCTTAATTTTTCACAACTTTTTAATCGAAATAAGCAAAGAATGGAGGGAGGTTGCAGAGATGATTATGTGAAGTTGATTAATTGGTTAGTACAAACAAACTTGATATTTAAAACATAAATCATTGAAATAAATTAAACAGCCCCCTAAATAGCATATAATAGTGCTGAAATTAAACTATAGAAAATGAGCAAAATTAAATAGCCGGAGGTACTATTCACCATCGGAGGTACTATTCATCGTTGGGGTTACTATTCACCGCCGGAGGTTACTATTCATCCAACGGGATAAATTATTTAAAGTAATAAATTACAACACTTTATATACAATATTTAAATTACATAAAAAAAAAAGCAATAAATGAAGTATTTAAATAATTTATATCACATTTTTAAATTAATTGAAAGTTTGCGAAAACTCACCTTTTGAGGAAATGATGAATTTTCTGAGTCACAAACTTTCTTTTGATTACCTTCAAGTCTGTGGAATGTGTTTTCAATTCTCAGTCCAAAATTTGAAATTACAGCTTTAGTGGTTGTTTTTTTTTTTTTGAATGGTGTATTGATGAAATGAAAATAAAAATATCAAAGAAAATATTTTATTCCTTCTTTCTAATTCTTTTTCTCTCAAACTCTCTCACACCACTTCTTTTTCTCTCTCTGATTTCTTAATCTCCTTCCCTCTTTTTCTTTTTTTCTTCTTCGCTAGGCCTCTCCTCTCTTTTTTCCTCTTAGACTCCTTTTTTTTTTCTTCCTTTTCCTTTCCCTCTTTGACTTTTCTTTTCTTCAGAGTCTCCCCCTCAACTGAGCCTCTCCCTCCTTCTTATATAGGCACATTATAATGATATAATAATATAATATAATTATAATAATATAAATATTATATTACTATCATCTATATGCATGTTATATAATATAATATATATATATATATATATATGTATATATATTTGTTTGTATGGTAAAAATTAGGATGAAAAGGCAAGAAAGTAGACATTTTGAAATTAAAAAAATGCGACAAAGAAGTCAAAGATAAAGAAAAATAAATAGACAGAAGACTACATTACCGTAAAAAAATAGAGTTTCATGATTTCAATTTATATAAAACCCTAGTTTATCTTCTTAATTATTCACAATCTACGTTTTATTTTAACCTAATATAGTTATCTTTTGAAGTAAATTTTAGGATAAAGTATATATCGGTAAAAAATGTAGACGATTTTCTTTTCTTACATTCATGTCACAGTCACATTCTTATCACATGACTAAATTCTGTTAAAAATTTAAACAATTGAGTAACAGAAATGGAATATTAATACTCGTATAGGGACCAAAGTGAAATTTAACCAAAAATACAAGTAGTTGACTGTCACAATTTCATGTGCAACGACCAAAGTAAAATTTGACTAGCAATATAAAAGGTTAACTATTATGATTTCATATGTAAAGATCAAAGTGAAGTTTAATTCAAAATGTAAGGATGCAAAATGTAATTTACCCTACACCTTTTCAAGTTTAAAGTATATTAAATTTTGCATTCCGTCAACTATATCATAAGAAGTATTGAACAGGTTAGTAATTTATCAATTAAAAAAAAAAACTTGTTGATAAATTCAATTATACAAGCTTGATTAACTATTTTACAGCTATTTACAATGACCACTACAAAAATAATGGTCATTGTTAAGTAACTCTGAGTGAAGTTTGATACAAAATCAAGTGCTGAATCTCTCTCTCTCTCTTCTATACATATTTACAAGTTCAAAGGCTACCTCTGCAATCGAGGGGTAGATTTTCCAACCAAGAATCATCCAAGAGAGGAGGTGAAGATTCAGATTCAGTGGGCCACTCAGTGCTAACATCTATTTCATCATAAATAATGGACTTACATTTCCCATCCCTACTTCTAACAATTGCTTGCAACCACAAATTGCAGTGTACAAAAACCAGATCACTAAATTTATCCATCTCTAAAGAATTGCATTTCTTGCTGTGTATGCTCTCAAAAGTGCTCCAGTTCCATCTACACCAGTGAGAACTACATGGTTGGCTCAGTATCCGTATTGCAGCTCTTTGCAGTGTGGGGATTTCATAACCATACGCTGACCACCAATCACCTAAGGACACACAATGGCGAATCAGTGCGAAGTTTTTCAGGAGAACAGTGATAATTATCTTCAAAAGATGAGGGAACATGAAGCCTGAATTGAGCCTGTTTGTCGTTGTTTATTTTAAACTGAAAGTTGATGATCTATAAACCAAACCAAACCAAACCAAACCAAGCCTTAAGTTGATGATCTATAAGCAAAATAAAAAATATTCCTCTCCAATACGAGGATAATTTATTTTTCTTTAGTTTATTTAAGCTATTTTTACTGCATAGGCTATAACCAAAGCTACACCAAACAATCTGGTATAAATCTTAAAAAAAAATTAAAAGAAAAAAAAGAAGCTATAAAACGTCCATTTTGCAGCAAAACAGCACCAAGGGCCTACTTGGTGCAATTTTTGAAAGCTGAAAGTTGATATTGAAAAACAAAGAAAGAAAGAAATACTAAAAACACCCCTACCATGGCTTTCTGATAATCAACTTTTTATTTTAGTTATTTTTATGTCTTAATCCATCATACATTGTGAACAGATTCCCCCCAAAATAACCATAAGCTGCACCAAACAGGCACATAGAAGGGGCTTCCAAAGGACATCTCATGGGTATCAATGACTCATTGGAAATATTCATATAACACACGCCCTTTTTCCTGTAAATATTTTAATTTATGATCATCATGAATACTACTTAATGGTAGCATAAATATATCAATGTTGGAATCACACTGGTTGGTGTATCATGGTGTTTTAGGTGCATAATTTAATCAGAAAACATTAATGGTTTTTACTCGGCATTTTCCTCAAACATGGGATTCCTCTAAAGAACAGAATGTGGACATGGAAATTAAAATGCAAGGCAACACATACATACCTGGGGCATTTAGCGTTCTTCCCATGATCGCAAACTCAGTGCCAAGAGCACCTTGAGCATTTATGTACATGGGATGCTCTTTGGTTATTTCTATTTTGTCCTCCTCTGTAGCCATTTTCATCATGGCTTCTTGAAACCCGTTCCTCATTCTCGAGTCAACTTTAAAGTTGAGGCTGTAGAAAATAGACGGATTCAAGAATGCTGCTGCTGCATGTAATGGCGAGTGAAGCTGCAGATTCCATCTGCCATCAATTATATCCCAGATCGGAACATATTTTTCTTCAATGCCTTTATAGAATGCCTTGATGGAGACCTTTGCCCTCTCTATTCCCTCAAATACATAGCCCATTGCAGGCATATCCCCATCTAAAATCCTTAGGATTTTAACCAACGGCTCAGAAACACTTACTGCTTCATGTGCAGACTTCCAAAATCTCTCCAAATACAACAAGGACTTAATAGCTTGGGCATCAGGGCGTCTACTATACGACGATGACAACCACTCTGGGTGAGAAAACATGTGTTTCAAATTATCCTCCTGAATCACAATGGACCTCAAGGAGAGGAAATTAGTGACGAATCTAGTAATTCTAGCCCTAATCAATTCTCTTCCTCCTGTGAACTTTCTCATCATATTTAGAATCCCCACATGACTGTAAAGGTACCTTGTGATGGTATTTGCCTCTTCCAAGACTGTACTTACCCATTCTTGTTTGCTGAAATCTTCCAACATCTTATTAATACAATGCGAAGCACACGGAAACCAGAACAATGAAGAGTACTTGGCCATGAGAAGCCTTCCCGCGTAAACATAGCTAGGAGTACTATCTGTTATTACTTGTACAACATTTTCTATACCAACCTCCAAAACAACCGACTCAAGCAGCTCAAACAAGTAATGCGCATTATCTGCATGGCCAGACACATCAACGGACTTTAGAAATAATGCACCTTTAGGGCATGTAGCTGAAAAGACCACAAGCGATTTGGTCCTACCATCGGACCAGCAATCACACAAGACCGTGCAACCTGTTTCCTTCCATTCATCTCTTAATTTCTTGTAACACTCATTTATATCTCCTTTCACTTTTTGCAAAAGCGTGGACCTAAAATTTTCGTAACTGGGTGGTTTATAGCCCACCCCACACTCTGCCACAGCATCCACCATTTCCTGATAAGACATGGACTTAGCTGCACTAAAAGGAATAGAATTGTGAAAGAAAAATACAGCAATCTTCTTATCAGCATTGTCCTGCTTTTGCTTTTCAGCATCATCAACAGTTGGCTGTGGACTGGGAGAGGGGCATGGGAAAGATGGACACGTGCTTCCACGCTGCCCACTGGATCCATGGTTGGGATGAGCACCGCCACTAGCAGAGGAACTATTTTGCTGACCATTGGCTGCCCGATCCACCTTTAGTTTCTTGGGGGTTTTATGTTTCTTGGGGGTGCTTAATAAAATCTGTATCTGGTCCCGCACGTTGTCTGGTACTTCAGCACAAGGAATTATATCTTTGTTTCTAATTTGAGCTAAGTGAAACTTCATCCTATAAACTCCCCCACTGAACTCCCGTTGACAATAATTACACTTAACCTTCTGTCTTGTTGCATCAACAAGGACACAGTGTTCCCAACAGGCATCTCTACCTCGTACCATTATCTTGGACTGACTATTGTAAGATTCCCTATTTTTCCACCAAATGCAGATAAATATATCAGAAACATAAATTAGAAGCTTTGAAACTAAAAATGCTGTCAATTTTAATGACTTTAAAGGGAAGATAGTTTAAATTTGCATGCTGACACAAAGACCATAAAAATTGAGATGGTAACTAAGCCAAAGAATTAAAAGGTAGCATACAGGTGTTAGGTAATAGAACAAATGATCAAGAAAGCCAGAATCTCAAGAAAAACAACTAGGTCAAATTAATGACTGTTGTTTTACACAGGTTAACCAGGGTCTACCTGCCCCTTTCCCTGTTTGGCTGTCACAAAATTGTTCGCATCCACATTGTACATAACCTACAGCAAAAGGAATTTTATAATATAAGCTTATAAGTAATAATCCATGGCATGCATACACCATATGCATTCAGCAGAAAGGTTTGCACATGATGGATGGAAATCACCTCTCATTTTGGCCCAAGATTAATGTCGGATGGAATATTTAAAAGTTATGTTGAATTTGTTCCGCAAAAATGCTTTTTTGATTAAATAGCCAGATAAATGAAAGCAAAATTATTAGGATAAGAAAATAAGGCAGCATCTGATTTCATAAAATTTCTTTTTCAGTTATTAAAACTGAAATATTTCAACTGAGAACAAATTATTGTTGAGCATTCTTTACAAATGTTGTCTCCAAAAACTGCAGCAGGACTCGTCCTGCCTAACAATTCCATGGGTATTTGAAATTTTGATAATGGTCCTTGATGAAATAACTAATAACTGAGATTGTCACACGGTCTTGGGTAGAACTAAACCCCAAAAGCTAGCTCAAGAGTGAGGGTGTCCTCACACTTATATGCTTGATATTATTTTAGTAATTGGGCAATGTGGGACTTTGCTTCACACCCTCCCGCACGCCCAGTACGCTCACATGGCAGCACCTGCAGCGTGCAGGCCAGTGACATGCACCCTACCCATCCCTAAGTATTTTGGCTCCTATACCATGTTACATGGTCTTGGATAGAAGTCAATCTCAAAAGCTGGCTCAAGAGGTGAGGGTGCCCTCATACTTATATGCTTAATATTATTTTAGTACTTGGGCGATGTAAGACTTCGCTTCACAGTAACATGATAGAATCTTAAACCTAAATTCTGCCCAATAGATTAATCCATCATAGCTCCACGCCAGCATAAGCAAAACACCTATAGACTGTGAGTGATGCTTATGTCAGATGGCAACATCCTGTCACCAATAAAAGGTATATACCTTTAACCCACTCTGATGCATCCTCTTCTGATCAAAAGAGTGACATACTCAACTGATAATATCTGTTTAGAAGGGAAAGGGTATAACTGTTGAACTGAACTTAGCGATTTTAAGGTAATCAACATATTATGAAATGCTCATTCATGTTTATTCTAAAGAAAGCTTTTCCTCACTCTTATTGGGTCAGAGAAATGAACCTCCCATCAAGGGTTTTAAGCATGCAGATAGAGGTCATTAATCCTTAACTGTTGTAATTTGTATGCTAAAAGGCCAACAATATTTCAAGCTGTTGAGTAGCAATAAGTCTCATTTTATAACAAGCAAGAACAACTTATTGCAGCCCGTCATTGGTATGACAATTACAAAAAGAGATTGTCTGGTAACATGTTCAAATACCCAATTCCACCCATTTTCATGTCATTCCTCGATTTTGAGCTCACAGACCAGAACTCCAAGTTATGACTTAAATAAAGCTACTAATAGTTATTCTGTTGCCTTCATAGAGACAAACATAATACAAAACCAGAAGAGGAAGATAATGATAGCAGAAAAAGAGCCAACGAAGTAGAAGCTCAAGAGTGCTCCAATGTATTATTAGTATTAGAAAGCAGTAACTTACTAAAACTAATTATATTTTGCATACCAAAAAAAAAAAAAAAAAAAAAAGGTTTAATTTTTTAAAATAAATGTGATCATTACAAATAAATGCTTTAGATCATCGAAGTAAACCCATCTGTTCCAACACCACCTCTCCAATCGGATGCTTAATTAGAGAGAATTAAATTCCCAAGGACAACAACATTTTCCGCACGTGATCATCACAAAAATATAACATGGGCATACATGAAATCACATCTCAAAATTATGAGCAAGCCAATAAAAAAGGCAACCGTGTGTTCTTCCTTATTTCAGTTGATCAATTAAATTAAAAGAATACAGGCCAGTTTGGTTATAAATTCATCATGTAAAGTATTATTCAGCAAGAAACAATAAAATATTTGCTCTGCAACACTAATCCTCATGAAACTCTCCCAATCATGAAGCACTGCACATATGTTTGAACTCCAAATCTGGATGGCCTCGGACAAGTTCATTAGTTAAAACCCTCAACCATCATAACTGCATAGTATATTAGTGAGGCTTAAACAATGCAGTTAGGAAAAAATTCAAGACATATTGAAAATGAAAGTAGATAAAGTTACAATACCGGCATTGCTAGAATGGTACTACTGAGGAATAAGGGGTTCAGTCAAGCTTCCATTGACAGTAATGGATTGGCACAATGGCACTTGAATGACACGGTTACATTATGTCCACTGAGGCCATTTAATTGAACCGGTTGACCCCTTCCTCAAATTTAATCGGGGAGCTGTCTGCAGAGTCGTGCCATACCATCTCCATCTGGTAGGCACCAAAAAGACCTTCAAATTTCTTACTGAAACTAAAAGTGAGAAATGTAGAGAAGATAAAGCTTTGAGTTGAAAATGAAGTTGGCAAAAGACAAAAAAATGAAACTTGAGAAACACTATCGTGTGAACTATTGAGATCTTTATGAACCAATAAAGAATCAAACTTAAAATGTTCATCCTATTCTATATTTCCTTGAAAATTAGTCTTCTCTATTTGGGAGATAAACGGTAACAGTTCATCATGATTGATCAAATTCAACCCTGTGCTCCACATACGTCAAAGTCGAACACATCTTTTCCCAAAAGGAACACAAGAATCTCATTTATTGGTAGATGGGGTGGCCATGAGTAACTCCTAATCATATTTTTAATTTTATCAAAAATCCAACAGCTTTTATCATACATTCATATACATTACCTTATGTCGTACATCGGCAAAGGGTGTTCTCCCGGTCCTATGCACTAGACCACGCAGCTCTCGATTTTTAGAATTGCGACTAGCAATCTTCTGTAAAGGTAAAGCATTCACATTTTACGAAACTATTAATTAAATGTCATACAAGAGATACATGAATATATTTGTATACCATTGCATCTTTACTACTCCAATACTCCACCATCACCCTCCATTGTTCTGGCAAAATGTCCAAAGGCACTTTTTCAACAAGAGATACATGAAAAAAAAAATTTCAACATTCTCTAACGTTTGGTACAAAGAAAAACATTTTTTGCGATCAACGAAAAATAAGTTTAATTGGGCAAAATTGGGTAAAAAATGTTTCACTTCTAAAAAGTGAAAAACATTTTCCTAACTAAAGTGATACCAATGCCACCACACTACCGCCGCCACCACCACAATGTCACCGCCGACCCACCATCACACCTCCATCACCACCACTCCGCCACTAATAATACAACTATTAAGTGCATTAGTATTAAGAAAGCAACCAAACATAGAAAAAAGCTCTTCCAAACTAACAAAAAAAATGTATGCGACTGACTGTACTAGACCTGACATTTCCTATGCAGTTGGAGTATTTAGCAGGTTTACTAGCAAACCTGGCAGTGATCACTGGCTAGCCATTAAGCGTATTATGAAATATTTATCTGGTACCATAAAATATGGCTTGTTTTATAATAAGTATCCTGCAGTACTTGAAGGTTGCAGTGATGCCGATTGGAATACCTTGTCAGGTGATTCATTATCAACCACTGGTTACTTATTTACATTGGGAGGTAGTGCTATAAGTTGGAAATCGAAAAAACAAACCATTA